AAAATAATAATGAGATACTTACAAGATACCTAACAAAAGAAAACGTGAATGAAGGATTTTATATTCAGCCAAGCCAACCTTCAGGTAGAAATGCTAAAGAACTGTTTTGAATTAGCCACATGTCAGGGAATACTTTTCCAAAGAATTCTTCCTTGAGAAAATTATTGGAGAACGAACTTCAGAAAACTAATAAAGACTTTAAAAACTACCAGACAAGAACTGGCAGCATGCATAAGTTATATTCAGCTTTAGAACAAAGAGTAAAATACATGTGAAGATTAAAATGAAGAGAGTGGAATAAAAATATTATATGCCCTGACACCACAGAAATTGTATAACCAATCCGTATTTAGGAAGGAGTAGAGAAGGCAGGGCATAGAATAAGCTGCTAACTGGCACTTCTGCAGTGCTTCACTCAAGAGGGTACCAATCAAACTGACCAATCACAGGACAGGAGTTTACACATAATTTACAGTACCAAGGGGAATACTTAGAAAGGCAATAATATAGACTAAAATTGGTGGACAGAGAAGTGAGAAAGAAAAGCTTGTAAATGTTATCACATATTATAATGGGGAAGCAATAACCATCTTTTAAAGAAATATACAGTTGATTGTCACTTAACAATATATTATGAAAATGTGTCACATCACAAAAACATGTTATTTTATTGATTGCATAGCATTCCAGTTTACGAATATATATGATACTTTTACATGAACCCATATTATTGAAAATGTAGGTATTTCCAAAATAAGAAATAGTGATATGAACTTTTAATATATGTTTTTATATATTTGTGTGATTACTTTTTAACATAAACTCTTAATGATAGAATTCTTGGGTCAAGAAGTTGGCAAATTCTGGAAGCTTTTGTAATATATTGCCAAGCTATCTGTTTTAAAATGAATAGTGATGATTAATTCTCTTGACCCACGCCAACAGCAGGTATTAGTATTCTTTTATATCTTCACAAAATTTCTGAGCAAAGAATGTTATCTCATATGTAAATTTACATTTTTTTCATTATTTATAAAACAAGCATGAATTCCTTATATATTGACTATTTGTATGTACTCTTTTTTCAAAACATCCATGTATTCCCTTTGTCTATATTCCATTGAAGTTTGCATTGTTTTCTTATTAATCTGTAAGTGTTTATTACATATTAAGACAATAATCCTTTGTTCTATTTGTTGTAAATACTTCCCCATTTAAAAATTGTAGTTATTGCATTTTTAAAAACACAATTTTGTGTTAAAATCTATTTTTCTTTTTCTCTATAGCTTCTGCCTTTGTATCATACTTTGAAAACGTTTTCTGATCCCAATTTTACATAAGCTTCTCTCCCCCTGCCAGATGCCTGAGGGGAATTTTCTCCAGTCTTCACAGTGAGAACTCGGTTGGCTCTTGGAGGTAGGACTCAGGAATGTGTGGGGATTTCCCTAAGACCGAGGCCTCCAGAGTTTTCATCTTTCAAGCTAGTACACACTGAACCTCCAGAAATTCATCAATTACAGCTTAAATGTTCCTTCCAGTATTGGTTCCAGTTGCCGGCTTCCGCTTCTGGCCTTCTGCCCTAGGTAAGCTGTGATTCTCTGTAGTTGCCTCTTTGTCTCTCCAGTTTTCAGGACAGCAGCTTTCCCTGTGATCTCAATTCTCCAACAGATCTAAGAACTGTTAATTTTCAGTTTTTTCTTCTTGGGAGGGTGGAATGACAATTTTCAAGCTCTTTGCCTGTTGGAACAGAAACTGGAAGTCTGATTTATTTTTTAAATAACAGGGACCTTTGGAGTTTCCAAAATTAAACATATTAAATACAGAGCTAATAGTTTTCCAAATGATTAGCCAGTTGTTGACAGCATTTATTATTTATTATCCATTATTTTCTAATTTATAATGTTATATTAGGTTAGCTTTTGAGAGAGAGAGAAAAATAAAGTATAAACAGTTTTTATTTATTTTATTTTATTTATTTTATTTAACAGATATTATTGCAGCTGAACAAACAAAAGCAATACGTTTTCTTGAAAATTATCTCCCCAATAAGTCCTCTTACTACTTAAAAGGTAAGTAGTAAAAGTGGGAGGAGGGTTATAATTATCTGTTATTTTGGAGTATTTTAAGCAGGTCATTTAAATCTGAATGTATTACTAACTAATATTTTTAAAAGCCAGTTGAACAGTATCCATGTAATACCTCTTTGTCGTATTTTGTACTTTGTTTCCTCTATCCCCTTCTGTAAGTTCAAAAATGTCATTTCTAAGTGAATATACATCCATAATGAGTTGAACGGTGTTTTGTTAATTAGGTTGTTCTTTTTGTTGGCTGAAAACTAAAGCCCCAATTAGCATAGAGTCAAATGAGCATATTACCTGCATAAGTTACTGTCACAGCAGCATAAGCTTATTCCTTTTCATGAAAGGCTCTAGAAAAGAAGGTCTTTGGCCTGTTGGCAGTCTGTCAAAATTTTATGGCCTATATCTAAAGTGAAAATTTGATGATATTTATAATGCTGCTAGAACCGTAAATAAGGTCTGGGAGTTATTTTGAATACAAAGAACCACTTACATACGAGGTAGAGAAAA